GTTGGCAAGTATATTAGTGGCTTGGCAGATGTTGTACGAGAAAGGATAAAAAACATTTTACCAGAGAAAATTGGAATCATGTTTGATGGATGGACAAGTAATGGCATTCACTTTGTTGGGTTGTTTGGAATATATCAAACTGTTCACGAACCTAGGAATTTAGTCTTGTTGGCATTTTCACTATTTGAGGATCATACTACCCAAAATGCAGATGCGCACATTAGGTTTTTTGAGGACATTCTAGAATTATATAATAAAAGTGTTAAGAATGTTCTTTTTTTTTCAGGAGACAATTGTAGTACCAACCAAAAAATAGTTAGTAATTTGAATCTTCTGCTAGTTGGATATGCATCACATCATCTTAATTTAGCTGTTAATGACTTATTAATTCTTCATCCACCCTTGTGAACAAGATTTGTAAAATTGTATATATAATGTGCACTTATAAGAACTGTGGGAAACTTGCAAAAGTAACATTTTTAACATCTATTTTAGACAATCCAACCTGTTGGATAAGTGTTATGAAAATAGTTGAACAATTTAAAGAACTTGTTCCCTATGTTATTCAGGTCAACAGGTTTTTAGATTGTTTTTTTTTTTATTTAAAAGAATGCTAGTTGGCATATTTTATTTATATTATACTATTCATACAGGTCATGATATTTTATTAATAGAACAATTGGATTTCAACAAAGTTGATCATTTTATTAAGTGTCTTAAATATTTTTCTGAAGTACCTAATGATTTACAAACTGAATCTATGAACTTAGATGATATTCATGCTTATTTCAACTTGCTAATAGAGGAATGTCCAATTCTGGAAAACTGATTAGGAAAGGATGCACAGATCATTCATGATCCTGTTTTTGAAAGAGTTGTAATTAAAATCTTATGCAAGCATGAATCTGTATTAACATCTAATAAAAAACAAAGACTTTAAGAATTTATTGTAGAACGACTATTGGTAGATGATAGTTTAATGACTATGAAAGAATGTGTGGAAAAAAAATGCAAATTAGAGAAATCAATATATATGGACTTGAACATTATTTCTCCTACATCTAACACTGTAAAACATTTATTTTTACTTGTTAAATATTACTATATGGACTGGAGAAAATCTCTTGATCTGTATATTTTAGAAAATCTATTATTGTTATGAATAAATGATAAAATGTGGTCAATTCATGATGTTCATCAAATTAAACTATAAAGTTTTTATATATATATATAGTATAAATTATCTTTAATGTTAATGACACAATTTTACTATATTTTTATATTTGAATGCAATTAATTTTTTATTTTCAAAATTCAATATTTTAAAGTTAAAACTTTATATTATTACAAAATTGCAATTAATTTTAATGTAATTGTCATTTATAACAATTTTACTTGGTCATAATTGCATAACAATTGAATTGCAATTAAATTTTCAGTACCTCTGTAATAAAGATTACCATCGCATATTTTTTTAGGTTAAAGAAATTGCACTAAAATAAAAAATAGTGAGCCCACTGAACCTCTTTTTTATTTTATAAAAAAATTGTTAAAATGGTATACAAATAAAAAAAATACATTACAGTTGCTTAAACAAATAACAATATACATATATGAACTATTTATTAATTTTGATTTAGTCTTTCTTGTCATTGTTCAGAATTCTCATATTTATTGAAATCATTTTCCTTACACCATTTTGAATTTTCTTCTGAAAAATTGTCTAAGAGTCTGTCTTTATTAATGTTATAGTCATCATCTTCTCTGGGGTCATAGGTTGAATTATCTAGGGTTAGAAATGGCTGGCTTAACTTAGTTTAGCTTAAAAAGCTGGCTAAAGCCAGCTTAAGCCAGCTTAATTTGTTTTATATAATTAATATTTTTAGTTCTAATTTAAAGTATGCAAATTAGTTTAAGTTTAATATATTATTATTATTGCTTATAAAACAGTATATAGGATTTTTTATTAAGTTTTTTTTTAAAACAGTATTTAGAATCTATAACTAGAGATAATAACAATAGTAACAATTAGTTATTATATAAACAAAATTTTTAATTATTAAATATTATTAAAATTTGATTTAATTTATTTAAAGTTTAAATATTTTATAGTAAATTTTGTAGTTTGTTATAAAAAATATAATGAACTTTTTTTGATTAATTAAGTTTTATAAATTAGTTTAAAAATTGATTGGCTAATAAACCTATACTAAAATAAATTAAAATAAAATATTTTGCAATATATAGACTAAATGCCTAAAAAAAGAATAAAATTGATAATTTTTTTAAAACTTATTTTTTATATAAATTAATTTAAACTAAAATTAAGCTTATTTTTACCTAATACTCAAAAGTAGTTATATTAATAAAATTTTGTAATATAGTTTCTTAAAATTTATATTTTCTTATAATTTATTATAAGATTTATAATATAAAAATTAATTTTTCAAAGATTTTTTTTGTTAATTTTATTACTTTTTATAGTATTTAGTCTATATAATATAATTAATTAAATAAAAAATACATTTATTTAAATTGTAATAATTATAATAATTTATAATTTTGATTTAAAAGTTATTATTATATAAATATAAACTAATAAAAATTAAATAAATTATTTTTATTAATTTTTTTAAAAACTTTAAATACTAATAATTTAATAAAAATTTAATCAAATTTAATAAAAAATTTTTTAAATAAATTTTATAAGTTTATAAAATTAAATTAAAAATTTTTTATTAAATTTGATTAAGTTTTTATTAAATTATTATTATTAAAATTTTTAAAAAAATTTATTTAAAAAAAATTTGTTTGATTTTTATTAACTTAATTTCATATATATAATTTAAATAGTTTTTTAAAAAAATATTGATATTTTAAATTTTTAAATTTAACAAACTATTGAATATATTTATAAAGAGCTTATATTAAAACTAAATTACTAATAATAAATAATAATAATAAATAATTAAATTAATATTTTATAATTTAATTAAAAGAAATAATAAACAATTATAAATAAAAACTATTCAAAACTTAATTTTATTATTTAATAGTTTTAACAAATTTTTTAACTTTACTTATTAGATTTAAAATTAGAAAACTAAATATAGTTTTAACTTTTATTAATATTAAATCCATAAGTTTTGTCTAATAAATATAATTTAAATACTTTATCAATCTTGAGAATGAATTTGTTTACTAAAAATTTAATTAAAAAAAATTATTTCTTTTTTTTTTTTTTAGTATTAAGATGAGGCCTTGCTTATATTTTTATTAATAATTTAAAATAGTTACATGTATATATGCTATGACCGAGGCCAATACTTGCAGTTAGAGCTAACCATTAAACTGCTAACTATACAGCTACTACTATTTGTACAAAACAAATAA